GATGCCGAGATGCCGAGTCAGAAAAGAAAAGGAAAAGGAAAATAATAAAGATATTGCCGAGTCACGTGATGGCCGAACCATGGCAACTACCCACCTCCTCCGTGGACGGATTCACGGGCTCCCACTCCAAATGTGGACGATGTACCCAATGATGAGCTTGCAGGCGTAGCCTTCACCCATTTCATGAACATGATGCGGCGAAACGCTCAGGCTCCTCGACTCGAGCTTCGGAAAATCTCCGACTTCACTGCGAAGGAAAGCGCTACAGAGGCGGAGGACTGGATGGATCAACTTGAGGCCTTGTTCCGCATCAAGAACATCACCAGTAACACTGTCCGCATTGAGACTGCGTTGTCTTATTTCGTTAAGGACGCAGCTCCCTTCGCGCGCCAAATTCGTTCACAGCGCCTTCGCTACAAGGAATGGTGGAGACAGTATGTTCAGGCCTACCAGAACAATATCGATCACGTCCCAGAACCCCCAGTAGCGTGCAACACCTGGGATGAGTTCCGTGCCAAGTTCATGCACGACTATGTGGACGTAGACCCGGTAGAAACCGCTCGTGACAAGATAGCCGTGCTGCGCATGCACAAGGACCAGCGCGCAGACGACTTCTTGGTCAAATTCCGTAACCTGGCAGAACGTACTGGCTATGATGGTGCTGCGCTGGTACGCATGCTGCAGCAATCACTCATAGGAGTACCCGTGCTACTCGAGAAGGTTCTCTCGCTGCGCAAACGTCCAAACGGCGCGAGGGAACAAGGAGCTTATCGTCCGGAGACTTTGGAGGAATGGTATGCGACCGTTGGAGACTATGATCGGGCTTATCGTCAAGCGCATGCACGCACACTTGAGGCTAAGAAGCAGAATACCCCCAGCTCATCTGCTTCTCGCCCCAACAACCCGCAGCGCACCCCGAACTATCGTCCCCCTCCTGGTCCTCCTCCGAACTATAGACCACCTCCAGGACCTCCACTGCCACCACGAGGTCCTGCTGGATCATTTGCTCCGCGTCCTCGTCACCCCAACTATTGGGCACCGCAAGGACCAGTTAACACGTCCCCTCCTCAAGGCCGTCCACGCTACGATCGGCGTGATGGTACCGGTACAACGTATGGAGGCCGCGGTCAACCCATGAATGTGGATCTCAATCGCATGGATATGAGTCAGGTGGAATGCTACAACTGCAGTAGAAAAGGTCATATGAGCCGTGAATGCCGTTCCCCACGCCGCGCTAGAGCTGGACCGTCCCAACCTGCGCAAGTTAGGCAGGTTGATGCGTCGCTCGTGCAACAACTCTTCTCTGGAATGTCGGAGGACTCCCTTTCCATATTCTCTCGGGCTCTTCAACAAGCCCAGTCGACTAGCTCTGCCAAGCCTTCGCAGGGTTTTCGACGCGGCCGGAAGTAAACACGGTGCCTCCGGTCGAAATTTCTCATGAACATTCGGACTCTAACTCGGTTAACACAACGCAATGTGCCGCGTCTATTCCTGTACTTGTACCACAACCCGAGAATGAACCTGATGATTCTTTGCTTGTTAATTCCGTGCTTCTTTCATACGAACAACGTCAAACTGCGATGGAGGGTAAGAGTTTCCTGATGATCCCACGCGACAGTGATGTCGTCCATCCAAGGCGTCAGCTAGACATCCCTGCCCTTCTCCAGTCCCCTACAAATGAGAATCTCTCCATAGTGGTGGTAGCCTTGCTAGATTCAGGGTGCACCGCAACAGTTATGGATATCGAATTTGCTCGTCAGAAAGGTTTTGAGCTTAAGCCTGTCGCTCGACCTATACCAATCCGCAACGCAGACGGATCTTGCAATCGTGCTGGTTCTGTTACGCATTACGTAGAGCTGGTCTTAACCATTCAGGGTCACAAGGAGGTACTCCCTGTGCCACCTGCGTCTTTGGGCTCCTGTCCCCTGTTTATTGGTTATGACTGGTTGGAATTCCACAATCCTAGCGTCAATTGGCGGCATCATACTCTGGAGTTCAGCCGCTGCCCGTCCTCTTGCGGGACACTGCATGAGGATGAGGACATCGATGTCTGGGAGGATGAAGGATTAGAAGAAGGAGATCACATCTTTGCGCTGGATATAGCCGCTTATAGCTCCGTTTGGGAGGAAGAGCTGGCTTTTCGTCATGCTATGCATATACGCGCATTTAAAACCAAGGCATCTGAGATAGCCGAACAAGAAGCGAAGCGTCAAAAAGATCAAACATTCGCAGAACAAGTCCCATCACCTTATCACGACTTCAAGGACGTCTTTAGTAAAGAACACTTCGACAAACTACCAGAAAGGACTCCTTACGACCACGCTATCGAATTCACGTGCGACTTCAAGCCTGTTATGGGCAAAGTCTACCCACTATCTCCTGCAGAACAAAAGGAGTTAGACGCCTTCCTTAAGGAGAACTTGCTATCGCAACGCATACGACCTTCTAAGTCACCGATGGCCTCACCGTTCTTCTTTATCAAGAAAAAGGATGGCACGTTACGCCCTGTTCAGGATTACCGCAAGCTCAACGACATGACCATCAAGAACCGTTATCCTCTTCCCCTTATTCAAGAGCTCTTAGACAAGCTCAAGGGCGCTCGCATCTTCACCAAGCTCGATATTCGGTGGGGATACAACAACGTCTGTATCAAAGAGGGAGACAAATGGAAAGCTGCATTCCGCACCAACCGTGGCCTGTTTGAGCCACTCGTCATGTTCTTTGGTCTTACCAATTCGCCTGCGACGTTCCAAGCTATGATGAACACCTTGCTCAAGGACCTGATAGAAGAAGGACACGTCATGGTCTACCTAGACGATATTCTTATCTTCACCGAGTTGCTCGATGAGCATAGACGCATTACTCGCCAAGTACTGCAGATTCTCCGTGACAATCACTTGTACCTCAAGCCGGAGAAATGTAGTTTCGAGCAGAGCTCTATCGAGTACTTAGGCATCATCGTGGAAGAAGGCACCTTTCGCATGGACCCTGCAAAGGTCGCTGCCATCCGTGATTGGATTACGCCTACAAAGAAGAAAGATGTTCAGTCCTTCATCGGCTTCTGCAACTTCTATCGCCGCTTTATTCAGGACTTCAGCAAGATCGCACGACCGCTACACAACCTTACGAAGAAGGATGCGCCTTGGCACTGGGGAAGTGCCCAGCAGCAAGCGTTTGACGCTCTCAAGGACAAGATCACGTCCGCACCCGTCCTCGCTATGCCTCGAGATGAAGGACAGTATAGGGTAGAAGCTGATGCTTCCGACTATGCTGTAGGAGCCGTGCTATCGCAGTTACAAGATGGCGCATGGCATCCTATTGCCTTCCTGAGCAAGACGCTAAACGCTGCTGAACGCAATTATGAAATCTACGACAAGGAGATGTTGGCTATTATGACCGCATTAGAGGAATGGAGGCATTACCTTCTGGGAACAGCAGAGCCTTTTGATATCTGGACAGACCATCAGAACCTCACGTACTTCCGTGAAGCTCGCAAGCTTAATCGCCGTCAAGCCCGCTGGTTCACCGAGTTGCAGGACTACTACTTCGTCCTTACACACCGGCCAGGCAAAACGATGGGCAAGCCAGATGCTCTTTCCCGTGACGCCGTGAGAAACGAAGGCTTGCATGACAACGAGAACGTTGTGCTCCTTAAGCCTGAGTTATTCCGGCTACTCCTCATTCAAGCAACGGTTGTAGACATCCAAGGCATGGATCATACGTTCTTTGAACGTATTCGCGACTCCGAAGCTGCTGTAGACGACAAGGTATCCAAAGCTCTTGCTGAGGATAAGCAGCATCTACGTTGGAGTCAGCGTGAGGACGGAGTTATCATCTCAGGAACAGCCCTATACGTGCCGCGCGACGATACTTTACGCGCAGACATCCTTAAAGCACATCATGACACACCTATGGCTGGTCACCCAGGCGAGATGAAGATGTACAACTTGATCCGTTCAAACTACTTTTGGCCAGGACTTCGGCACGACGTTAAGCGTTACACTAAGTCGTGTTCAGTCTGCCAAACGGTCAAGATTGATCGTCAACCACGTCACGCTCCGTTACATCCCCATGATCCGCCTACCGCTCCCTGCGAGGTTATTGGTGTAGACTTCATTGGCCCACTACCTGAATCCGAAGGCCAGAACATGATTTGCGTCATCACCGACCATTTCACAAAGTTCGTCATCTATACACCTTGCCTCAATACCATCAACTCGGAGCAATTGGCACGTCTATACAACGAACACCTCTATGGGATCTTCGGCATGCCTCGCCATGTTATATCCGATCGAGGATCTGTCTTTGTGTCTGAGTTCACTCGCACGCTCATGAAAATCCACGGCATTGAGGGAAATCCATCAACCGCATATCACCCTCAAACCGATGGTCAGACCGAACGACAGAACCAAGAGATTGAGGCATACCTACGCATATGGGTATCTCACCATCAGGACGACTGGGTTCGCTGGTTACCAGACGCGCAGTTTCGGTATAACAACTTGGTGCACTCCGCTACGGGTCATTCCCCTATTCAAGCCCTTACGGGTAGAGAACCGTACTCGGGATACAACCCTCGTGTGCAAACCAACATGCCGAATTTGGAAGCGTTAGCCGAGCAACGTAACCGCATCCAGGAGGAAGTTAGCGCTGCATTAGCCGAGTCCAAACGGCTGATGAAGGAACAGTATGACAAACACATCGCCAAAGAACATCCATACCAGATTGGCGATTATGTTTGGCTCAGCGCTAAGAACCTCAAGTCTGATCGGCCTATGAAGAAACTAGACGTCTTGCGCTACGGCCCCTTCAAGATCCTTAAACGGATCGGGCCCTCCGCCTACAAATTACAAATACCCCCAACATGGACACAAAAGGGTATTCACGACGTCTTCAATGAAGTTCTTCTTATGCCTTTCATCGGTCCTGCCTTCCCAAACCAAGTCAACGTCAAACCTCAACCTCCGGATATCTTCTATAGGGATGATGTCCCAGAAGAAGAATACGAGGTTGAAGAGATACTGGACTCGCGGAAACGCGGACGTACTGTCCAGTACTTGACAAAGTGGACGGGATACTCAGATCTCTGGAACTTGTGGGAGGATTGGGATGACTTGACGCATGCTCGGGATAAAGTCTTAGAATTCCATGAGAAATACCCGAGGAAACCCAAACATGCGTCTCTTCAAGCCCAGCGACGTTCCACAAGGCGTTAATGAGGACATTAACCCTAGAAGGGGGGTAATGTCAGGAACTATCCATTTCTTTTCCTTTTCGACCCGTGTCTGCCTGCATGTGACCGCGTATCTCATGTGACCGTGTTTGACCCGTGATCCTTTGGCTTATATCATTACTATGACTACGTCGGCCCGCTTACACAGTACTTATGACTCTGGGACACGGATATCCCTTGTTTTACTACGATACGATTACTACAACTCAAATCCCATTCGCTAGAACGGACTGACCCACATTTCCGACCCACTCTCTTTATTTGCGACTGTTTACGACTCATGCATGTATATAAGCTTGTTAGCCAGGCCTGTACGCTTTTCCTTAGAGATATCAATCTTCGTTAACTCTCCAGACCTGTGTGAACACACCTGCTTACCCAATAAGCTCGCCTGTCTAACCTCGCACACCCATCTGTGGCTAATATTTTGATATCTCTCGTCGCCTCTTCATCCCTCTTGCTCGTCGTCTATTCCCTTCTCTTCATTGTCTCGTCTTCCTTTGGTTGGTCCAGAGGTCAGTAGTTCAAGAAGGAGACTGCGTCGCGCTACTCCTCTACTGGGCTCACGATCGTACGCGCTGAGCAAGAGCGCATCAAGAGGTTCTGCTACTCGTCGTTGTTCTGTTCTGTGTCTT